ACTTTCTGCACCGGCTTTTCAACTAATAAATATATTGAATTAGACTTTTACAAACGTCAACACCATTTCACACAGAATTATTTGAACAGACCTAGACATCAAATGTTCTTGAAGCTTTTAACGTGCGATGCAGTACAAAGTCAACACGCAAATACATCGCAGGAAACCGAAGATGATGATACAAGCGAACAATAAGATGAAATGTGCAGAACAACAAAAGACAATTAATTTAATGATAGGTGAATGGATGATGCAAAGAAAGGTAGCCATTAAAATGAAGAGGAATTCAGGTGTCCCGCTTCGAAATATCACAAACAAACTACAGGTTCGGATTCACAGAAGAACGAAATCACAAGAAGATGTGCAGAACACGAGGTGAGGGATGAAGCGATGAACATTAACACAGAGGAGACAGAACAACTTTCCAAAAATAGCAAACATAACTTCCGCTAGATATGACATGCCGAGGCTCTGAAATTTTAATAAATCACGATTTTTCGTTACCTGGAAAATACCAGTTATTAGTACCGGCAGACCTTCGGAGGTGTCAAAAGGGTACCATGTATCAAAAACCAAATCATCGTAAATGATCACTCGTACTGATGATTGGACGGCGTGGTACACACTGACGGACAGCAAGACGTATCTCATGTGTTTCAGAAAGCGTGGGATGACTCCAGCCATTGTCAAGCTTTTGGTGTCGGGATCTGTTTGTGGTTGGTCCTCCCACGTGAAGGATTCCGTGAGAAGAAGCAGGCTCTCAAAAGCATTCTTTTGAATCCTGAAACAAAAAACAAAAAAGCAATGTTGCCGAATTCTCTAGAGAGGCCAATCGTGAAACCAGCCATAGTAACGCATTATGGTTCGGACGACTTTGCCAGGGCTCAAAAATACGCTCAAATTTTTGCAAACGCGTTCGTTTCGGTGTTCTGCGCCTTACTCATTGTTGGCACACGTAAATTCTTGGAGAGTTAATAATTCCACACGGCATAGTCAGTGCTTATTCATTAAATTTAAACGTCTCAACTAGAAAATTAATCGGAAGCTGTAGTTGAAAGTTTCGCTGTAAGAATTTATGGTGCAGATAATTTTCAGTGGAAATGAGGAACTTCACGAACAGAAATGTGTTACTTTAATTCTATTGCGAAACATACTCTGAGATGTTTATTGTATTTATGTAAGTCTCATTTCACGACAGATTCAAAGTTCGTTATTAAGCACTGTTGAAATGTAATATAGTTAGTGTTTACTGATTTAAAATTAAATTGAAATGGTGTGTTCGTCGCTTAATCGTAAGTACCACCTTAACATTTGCCTGCAAGGAGTAAGAAACAAAAATCAAGATTCTCAGATTATCTGATCTTTGTGCCGAAATTTTAAACCCAGATGTTCTGAGCAAAAAAATAAGTGTCACTCCCTAAATTTACGTTCAGATGTATCTGATGACGCAGACATAAATTCAAAGGTTAAATATCAAAAGTTTATAAACTCACCTAAAAACGACGTTTTAAAAGTCGGAGTCTAATACAACTGAAACCATAAAGCAATGTGAAGATTTGTGTTCTGATTACCTGAGACTTAGCTGCATCCACACGGTAATACAACCCCCGATAAAGAAACGTGTGGCCATTACAACGTGTTCTATATCCATTTTTGTGATTACACCCATAAAAAATTGCAGAAAAAGACCGTGTAAGGACACAAACGCCAATACGTTGTAAAGGCCGTGGAAGATTGTCTTCCTCTTACTGTGCATTGGTGTTCCCGCAATGCGTAAGAAAAGTAACAGCGAATTAAATCGCCTTTCAGTAATATCTTCTTCTTGCAAGATGGCGCCCTCCATCGTCAAGTATTGATTTCAGAATTATTTGTTCTTCCAGTTATCAGAATTACTATTATTATGTCATTAGCAGAAGTTTATCTGCGATGGGGTGCAGGACGTAACCTTTCCTGGTGCTCTACTCCTTGACTCTGAGACGTCTTTTTCTGTGCTTCAAAAGCCAAGGGATTGATAAAATATTCATGAAATTCGAAGTTCGTTGTTAACGATTCGACCCTTCGTTGCCTTAATCACAAAACTGTTGAAGTCAATTAATTTTCCTGCTCCAACTACCAATTTCGTGAAAATTCAAAGACGCTGCGTAGTTTTCTTAATGGAATATCATGAATATTAAAAGTTTAAGTTTAATTTATACTAAGGAGACATGAACTTTCCGGGGAGTTCCGGAAATCCGAATGCTTGAGGAATTATATTATGTTTCTTGTAGCGACATATTTCCAACGCATGCTTGATTGATTACTCTGATCGCGAATTATTTAATTTCTTTTAATTGGTTTTGTTGTATTTAATAACAGATAGATCTCCATCCCTGAGAAATGTTTACTTTATTATTAATTAGGGTTCAGGAAAAGCCATAAAATCCACATGACGAAAATATTTCATACACAGTTCAAATATGATGCCTCATTATTTCCATTTGTAATAAATGTCCTTGGCTTTTTTGGTACGTATCCAGCTGTAATCTGCAAGCAAATTTCAGTCCCGTATGATCTGGTAACTTTGTTAGTCTTACTGCAAGAGGACTGTTCTTCTTCAGACACTACCAGCAGACTTTCTGCTGTGTTAATGCGTTGAAATCATATGAGTATAGATTTCCGGTGAGCTAGTCATCTTTCTATACGTATCGTTGATTATCACAAGAAAGAAATTATTGCCACTATGTTTAGTATGTTCACCGGGACTCGATCCCAGGACAGATCTTTTGGGGCTGTGCCCTTCGGCCTTCCAATCTCCTCGTCGAAACAAACGATTCTGTTCTTTGCGCCGTTCTTCTGTCGTTCTCAGATTTGAGGATACAAAATCACCGTCTCCGGGTATCGAACGCGGACACTTTCTCGGATATTTGACATTTCTGTGTGCTCATCCTGGTCTTAAGGAATAAGCATGCCAGGTTTGGTTCAAGTCGGATTAACCGTTCTCGAGCTAACACACACAATCCCAATTTTATGCATAAAATAATTGCTTTTCTGTAACGAAGTTTTGTATTGTAACCTGCAATGCAAATAAATAACGTTGTTAGTTAGAAGGATTAGAGGTCTCCATTTGCGGTGATTGTGAAGATGGCAGAATATTTGCTTTCAGAGGTCATAAACCTGATGATGGAGACAGCAAGAACCTCTGAAACATCGGTAAACT